AAAAAAAAAAAAAAAAAAACTTTTAAATTTTTTGAGGGGGATAAAAGATTTTTTTTAAAAAAAAAAAAAAAAAAAAAAAAAAAAAGACGTCTTAAGTATTTGAAGTGGACTATAAAAAATGAATTCAGAAACATGTTATTTTAAAATCTAATTGTATTATAATATGAAACATCCTCCATACAGTTTGAAATTTCAGATTTTGGGGTAAAGATGAACAGGTCTGTCTACATCAGATGGCCGGTAGAAGCCCATGTTACAGGAGACTATGGGCCAGCTTTTTAAATATTTAATACCTGAGTGTAACCTATAATTATAATCTGACAAAAAGAATATTCCTTTGTGTTTCATTTTACTCAAGTAGAAAAAAAAAAACAGCAGGTCTACACTTATCAGTGACTTTTCAGCATGACATAATCACTAGTTTCAGTAATATGAGGGATAATTTAGGAATTCCTTCACTGTTTTCTGTGACTTGGGTTTTCCTTTCCACACTTGGCTTGCTGGCAGCAGCCTGGCTCGCTGGCAGGAGTCCTCTGCACTGCAAGCTGTAGTCTTGTGTTTCCCTAGCTACAGGGATCTTTGCTGCCTGGAAGCTGGCTGCCCAGCCTAGGGAATCAGACACAGAATGTATAATGAGTTGGGGCGGGCACAAACCCAAAAATGAACAAAGGCTTGGAGGAGGCTGGGTCTCTCCTTAAGAGAGCCCAATGCTGCCACCTAGTGGGAAAATGGTGCAAAAGCACATCATGCTGTATGGCCTGCAACAACAGCATATGTAGACCTTTCAGGGAAACTCCTTCATTAAATGAACTTAAGGTGTGTAACTTTCATAGCTGGTGGCCACTGAGACCTGTTGGGTGATTTTTAAAATGTGGCACAATGACTTGGCAGGTGATTTGGGGCCAAAGACAATTACAGACAATGTGCCACACAGCTGTCTACATATGCCATACAGTTCCCAGAGTAGGAATTGCAAATACAGAGATGTGTGAGGCAAATGTGCTTGCCATGTTAAAGGAACAAGGGGAGAGAGGAGGAGAGAGCCTAGGCAGGAGAGGCCAGAGCAACATGGAAAATGAAGTCACAGTGGGTGGGGACAGGACAGACAGGTTAGGACCGTATTAGACCCTTGCATTTACTTAGGGTGGTATTCTAAACTGTGACTGCAGAACATAGCAAGGGCAGTTGCAATGCAGAGAAAACTGATGCTGGATGGATTCTGGAGCATAACAGCTGACTGGGGGAGCAAAGCAGTTTGAGGACATGGAGAAAACAGTATGCTGAGGGTAGTTTGGATGGCCCAAGGTTTGGAGCCTGGAAAAATAGACTTGTCACTGCCTCAGATGGGTAGGGATGTGGATGGAATGGGGTCTGGAGGGCTGGGAGAAAGCTGAGTTTGCATGACTGGTCTGGGATAATGTTCACTGCTGCTTGGTCATCATGCAAGTCTGGATGTGCCGGGAGGGCGACACTTGGGGAACTGCCAAATTTGTGTTGTTTGTTACAAATTATGTGGTTGGTTGAGATCAACAAGGAATGAGGCTAAAGAAGGAGCCCAGCAGTCATCACTCTGGATCTCTCATTTTCTTGATGAAATAGATGAAACATCTAAGAGTGCTGGGTTCCCCTGTGGAAGGCCAGAGGGGAGATGAGAATAATTCCACCTGGGACTACCCAAGCCCTAGGTGACTTCCTGAAGTCATAACCACAGTTATGCTTAGAAAGTCTCAGCTTAGCATCATGATTCCAAAGATCAGAAACCTGGGAAGAAACATAAGAACAAGAGGCAGTTTTTCCCCACCCTGGGGAGGGCCCTGCTGAAGGTGGATATTTCCTTGAGTGTCCACACTGTTGGGCAATGATTGTTTGGAAGAGGTGAAGCCTAGGGATTAAAGTGTTGTGGGACATCTTGATGGGGAATGTATACATCCCAGTGTAATTTCACCAAAGCAGCAGGTTATACTGTGTGTGTGTGTGTGTGTGTGTGAGTGTGTGTGTGTGTGTGTGTGTGTGTGTGTGTGTGTGTGTGTGTGTGTGTGTCTGCTTATAGGTGTATATACTACATGGATGCAGGGGCCTGTGGAGGCCATAACAGGGTATCAGAGCCCTTGGAACTGCACTCAGGTGATTGTGTGCCACTGTTGTGGTTGCTGGGAGCTGAACTCTGTCCTCTGCAAGAGCAGCAAGTGCTCTTACCATGGAGTCATCTTTCTAGCCCACAATGTTTTTGTTTTGTTTTGTTTTGTTTTTGAGACAAGATCCTACCATGTCCCCCTTGTAGTCATAAATTCAGACGTCCCCCTGCCTCTGCCCTGAGTGCTGCATTAGCAGGTTAGGGCACACATTTTCTGCTGCCCAGGGATGCCGTTCTAACTTGAAATGAGCTAATGTGCACAAATTACCTGGGTGTGCGGCATCTTCAGGATGAGCTACTGTCTCCCAAAGCTGCAGCTGTGCAGCATCCCTGGGACAGACAGCTCTGCTTCAAGTGCATTTGATGTTTTTTTAAGCTGTCATGAGTCTTGATGGCAAGTGTCTTTTTCCCATTAGGCCATCCAACTGGACCCTCTCCAGTGTTTGAGGAAAGCCCTGTGATACAAGTATGGGGAAAGTAACGTGTACATTTCATTCTAGGTAAAGCCCAGGGCTCAGGGCCTCAAGGTGAAGTGTGTGGGGACAGATAACATGAAGCTGCTTCATATGCTCTCTTTGTGGCTATTTTTTTGTCCTTCTTACTCATTTTGAGTTTTTTTTTCTCCCCAGAGTACTGAGCTTTGCTTCAAAACCCTCAGCTATTTACTCCCCATTCACCAGTCCTTACAGAGCTTGCCATCTTTGATGTACTGTATCAGTTACCCTTCTCACACAGCTGTATAAGCCACAACACCGCCATTCTTCATTTGCCATTCCTACTCGTGTCTTTCTGTGCATCTCTGACATTCATGCTCACCTCTTCTGTTAGTTCTCTGACTCATTCAGAACTATCTGGATAAAAATATCCAGAGTCTACCTGGCTTGGGAGAATAGGGATGCTCTAGAAGGGGGATAGTTCAGGCTCTTGTTTTACAATAAGGATGAAACATGGATTACCGTGCAGCATGCAGGGAGGGAGGTACAGTGGAGTTCTGCCCACTCTGAGAGGTGTTTGTTTCATGCCCCGTATTTGGGAAAAATCTTAAAGAATGGGTTGATTGTAGCCAGCCCTCAAGTTGAGGATTTCAAGCGAGATCTTCAATCAAGTGAATCCCATCTAACATAGACTGGATACTAACATTTGCTTTCCACAGGACCCCACATGACTATCATCGTCCCATTTCAGCAGGAAGTAACTTGGAGAATGCTACGCCCCCTTTCCCCATTGTTGTCACTTAGGATAGTGTATATACCTAGTTAGGAATAGCTTCCTATTGTTTATGGTTCAGTTTGGAAGGAGGTGTTCAGGCTTGGACACCTCTTTCAGATGACTTTAGGGTTTAGTTAAAATGGATAGTTAGGAGGTGACATAAGCAGATTGTTGTATCTTCTTACATTTTACCTTTATACTGTTAAGTTTTAATCCTCTTTTAGACTAAAAGGGGAATTGTAGGGGAAGCTGTAGCCACGCCTTCTTAGGGGCTGGCTACAGGAGTACCTGAGCAGGCTTGTGAGGGCGTGGTCAGAGTGAGTAGGGGGACTGCGTTTCGGTTTCTCTCTTTGCTTCTTGCTGTACAGACTATCACCGGCTGGCTGGTTTGCTCTGTAAGTAAGGCTTTTCCCTATTAAATACCCTTATATTTCTACCTGACTCCGTATTGGTAATTTCCTACTATAGTTGATGGTTTGGAAGAGGAAGAAAGAACTTGATGCTACCTGAAGGGTTAGCTGTGTTAATGGCTAAGGTCCAGCAACCAGCAAGTATCTTTGGACAAAGGTGCTGGGAGAGATGCTGAGGCTCAGTGGGAGGCAGCCAGGGAAGAGCTGCCTGCTTTCGCAGCTCTCAATCTGAACAGACACATCTAGTTTCATCTGTGTTCCTCCCTGCCCCTGCCCCTGCCCCCGCCCCTCATGATTTCCAGGCAAATTCAAATGAGTGTTTGACTTTAGACCAAGGTTGTGAGAGTAAGTACCAACAGAGGGAGCTCAGGTTTTCAGTATTCTGTCATTCAGGGTCCAACCCAATGCTGTGCCACTGGGTGACCCATGAGTCTTTTCTTGATGGGATGATAGAGGGGCAAAGCCTGTCCCTGTGAAGCAGCCTCTTTCCTAAGATTTTAAAAATGATAGCTGATTCAAAGACATGGCATCTGAGAAAGCTCCAGAGCATTCAAGAGCTGTCCACTTCCCCATCAGCTGTTCTCACACTGTGCATCTGGGTTGTGTAACTGCCTCAGCAAGCACCTTACACTATGTAGGGAATGGTCCCAGGTTATGCTGTACAATCCCATTGTACCGATCACAATGTTCTGTTGTGGGAAGCACCAGGCTCCTTCTGGACCAGAGTCTCTGGAAAGAAATCTGGCAATCTGATTATTTGGGGCACCAAAGTTTTGAGACCTGATTACTCTCTTTACTCTTACTTTTCCCTGACGTCACTCAGCCAGTTCTCCTTCCCAGCTGCTAGGCAGACTTGCTGATTCCGTGCACAGGTCCATTTTTGAACTCTGCTCCTCCATCCAAACACTTGATATTGCTATTCAGACTCAGGTGTGAACAGGGCCAGTGTCCTTCTCCCGTGTCCCAACTGAGGTGAGGGCTCAGAAGTCTGCCTTGTAGTCTGTAAAGGCCCTAGATGTGACTGATTTATTTGTGGGGCCAGGATGCAACACCAGCTCTTGCATGCTAGGAGGCTGCTCTTCAGATGACCCATGCCCCCAGCTCTCCACAGGTGACTTCTATAAAGAACTGAAAGTTTAATTTCCTGTATCAAAGGCGGTTTTGTATTTCTTCAGTTTCGGCCTTCTACAATTCTGCAGTCACCTCCTCAGCATGCTTTCCTTACAGACACCCTTACTTTCTCACAGGTGTCCTCTCTGAGAAATGAGAAGCGAGGCTCCTCCTATCTCATCTCGGCCCCAGAAGGGGGTCCAGTAGAACTCGCTGGCCAGCACCCTCAGGACACAGGAGTGAGCTACACAGAATCCTACTTGAAAAAGAAGCGTGTGTACTGAGCTCACTGTCTCCTGCCCACTGCTGCAGTCCGCTGCAGTGCCTGCTGCTCATCGCTGCCTTAACTTCATTCACTAGCCATATCCTTTCAATACGGGTGTCTGACTTCCCAGAAGGAACTGTCATGCAGCAGGCAGATCAGCCAAATACCCAACTAGCAATAAGAAACGTCATTGGTTGAGGGCATTTTCCACTAGCATTAGATGTGTCTTAATACATGTGATAACAGCTCAGCTCACTGGAGAATCAGCATTCCAATAGTCCTTGTTTCGGGCCTGGGAACAATTTGACATCGTACCATCTGAAGCAATAAATGGGAAACAGTGTTTTGTTTCCTTAGCCTTAGAATGAATTTCTTATAAGCCAATGTGCATTTACCTTACTCTCCCTAAGAATAATCTCATCCGTAGTCTTTAAGGACCTTTCCTCCAACAGCAAGGGTGTGGGTACAACCCGTGCAATGGTGATACCACACAGACACTTGTCATGGAGACTCCATTAGCTCTACACCAGCCACGAAATACCAACCCAGTGGCAGAGTGAGAGTCAGGTCACTTCAGATGCTTGACTTCCAAGGTATCGTTTACCATTTATACTTTTGGGAAACAAAGTACTTCAGGAAAAGTAACTTTGGTTACATAATACAAGGGTTGGTGAAGTACACACTAGGGCCACATGAAGTCTACCACCTAGTTTTGTGCTGCCCATGATTACACTTCTAAATGCCTGGGGTAGGGGAGAACTTAGAACATGAAACTGCAGTTTTAGTGTCCCTAAGATTTTATTTGGAACACAGTGAAGCTCACTCATACACATATTATGTAGTTACTTTTGTATCACTACAGGAACCAAGTAGCCTCAACAGAGAACCACAGAACCTGCAAAGCCTAGGACATTTACTCTCTTCTTTATATGTAAGGTTTGCTGACCTCTCTCCCTATTGCTTTTATCTTATGGTTAGAAGGTTAACCTTTGAGAGACTGGCACATGCAAGGAGCCAAGGAGTGAAGATCTAATCACTAGACCAGGTTGTAACTCGGCAGCACAGTCCACACAGCCATTTCTGAGGGAGTCCATGGACAGTGTGTGGGACAGTTCTGAGCTAATAAAGCTCTACCTCACTCTGGTTTCTTACTCATTCCTTGGGAGTTAAGCTGAAAGATTGCAGCTATTTAATCCAAGTTCCTTCTGAAAGAATGTCTTTATTAATGTGACTTTTGGCCTCACCATTTTCTGAAGACCTTGGTATGAGTTAGAGAAACCACTTTCCATCTAGAAGTCTGTTTGTTTGTTAAGAGACTACAGCTGATGGATTTTGGGATCTCAGTGATCCCACTCTATAGGATCAGATCATTAAAATACCTTATTTGAGGTATTTTGACTTATTTTTGACTATGATATAAATCTCCAGCATTAATTATAGAGTCTAAACTGGTACATATGTTATACACTTTACAAAGAATTTTACGTGGTCTAATTTATTGCATATACCAGCTTTCATTGAAAATGACAGCTAAAGTGGTAAGACAATCCTAAGCATACTACCTATGGCCGATCAGAACGGCCATAGCACAGACTAACGGCTTCTCCAAGTCTGCACAGAGAAGCCCTTCCTTTTGCTGCTGTATTCCATCTCTTCAGCACTTAGTGATAGTTTTACTTTGTGCAAACAGAACATAGGGAGGATAGTGACTGCTACACTGGAGCTGAAAACTTAAAGCACTCTGCATTACAGCACAAGGTCTTCCTCCATACCAGCCTGCACCCATTATCTGTGGCCAGAAGAGTGATGTTAGTACAAGGTCATTACTACCAACCCCCAAAATCTAGGCTGTTATTTTTCTATGTTAGCTAATGGTTTGAAATGCTTTCAAAATGCAGACTTAATATTAAAAGGCATATGCATGTGAAGTCTTTAGTATGTTTATTTGTATAAAGAGTAAACAAAGTGCATATAGAGCAGGCCACAGGTTTGACATGTACAGCAACTAAAGAAATTTAAATGGCAACTGTACAGTTGCTACTAAAGAGATCTTGGATTCTTTGGGGCGGGGCTCAAAAGGTGAAAAAATACCAAACAGCATTATTAAGTTTGCCAAACTCTTGGTCATGGAGAACTTCGTGGTTCACATTGAATCAGAAACTGAACATTATTGATTACCTCCAAGCAAACTGACAAACTGCCTAGTGAATTCTGAACTTCAGTCTGTTGTGCCCCTGGGCTGAGTCTTGGTAGTTGTGCAGTATAGGTGGATGGTCAAAGTAGTGATTAACCTTTGTAGATGGTACTGCCTTCTGTTTGCAGTACTGTGACAGCTTGCCCACAGTAAGGTGGTTATGAGGGGGTATGCAGTGACATTTCTTAAAGGCAGGTGGAATAGCATCCAGGTCAAAGGAGTCTGTCTGAGGAAAGCAGGCTGTGCAGGAGAGCATGGGCACAGGCCTAGTTCTCGAGAAGTAACATGCAGAGTGTCTATTGCCAGGTTATCTCCCTGTGCAGAACCAGTTGTCCCACAGTGGGTACCAGTGTGGAGCCAAGAGAACAGCAGTTGGGCCTCTGCACAAACAGCTTGAAATTGCAGTCCTACTGGGTAGCAGGAATAGACTCATTTTTTAATAGAAACAAAATAGTATACTAAATGGTACCTACTCAATTGGACTATCACTGTATAGATACTGAGATTTCACAGCAAGGGAGAGTTTCAGCCAAGTCCACCAGTTTTTATCTAAGATCAATATTGCAAGCAAAACAGCGCCAAAAGTCCTTTGCTATGCAACTGATCATATAATCTTTCCAAAAGGAGTGCTTAGGCACATTCTAGTTTGGTTGTCAACATTTTTCACTAAATTTCCCGTGCGACATATACATGTACTCAAGTATTTGTTGAGTGGCTTTTTAGGCAGAATACAAACTTTTTCATAAAAAAAAAAAAAAAAGTTTTTAATTGGCTTGGGAGAGAAGGACCTGATAAATGGGAATTTAAATGTTACTCATGCTTCTTATTTTAAAAGTGCTTCAAATCCTTCAATAAGGTTCTGAAATGTTGTCCGATTAGATGGTTGGAATTCCCAGCATTTTCTCATGAGCTGATAAACCTATGAAAAATAAAAGCAAGAACAGTACAAATAATGTCAGATTAGTGAGATAAAAAAAAAAAAAAAAAAAAAAAACAGGCTGGAGAGATGGCTCAGTGGATGAATTACATGCCCCACAAGTGTGTGACCGAAGTTCAGAGCCACAACACACACACACATTAAAAAGGCCAGACAAAACTGGGTGATGGTGATGCACACCTTTAATCCCAGCACTCGGGAGGCAGAGGCAGGCAGATCTCTGTGAGTTTGAGACCAGCCTGGTCTACAAGTGCTAGTTCCAGGACAGCCTCCAAAGCCACAGAGAAACCAAACCCTGCCTGGAACCTTATCCCCCACCCCACCAAAACAAAAAGGCCAGACTAGCAGAAGCATGAGGGCTACTAGCTTCAGGGGGAGACCTTGTCTAAGGAAACAAAAGCAACCAAGGAGGACACAACAACATCAGTCTCTGGCATCCACAAGGACCCACACATTTGAAAACATGTATACTTGTATGCACACCACACAGAAAGACACCCCCCCCATAGAATTATCAAAAAATAAAGAAAAGGCAGTTTCCTAACATTTTCAAACTTAGTAGGAATAAAGAATGGAGTATTTGAATAATTTAAAATATAGAAAGCAATAAACTATAACCCCTTTCACCAACATGGTGCCTTAACTCTGACCATCTGAATAGCCTAGAGCTGAAAGGCTCAATCCATCTTAGAATATATAAAACTTAAAATGCTGGTAAGTGGGATCCATTTGCACAAGCTATGTTAAGCCCTGGTCACAGGTGCCCTTCTGGGAAGGCAGGTAGACCAGCATGCAGAGGATGGAGAACAGCTCTACAAGGAGAGCCTTGCTTGAGCATCATCTAACCCATGGGGAGGAGGGTTCTCTAATATCTTGTCTGATGGGGATAATGGAAACAACCTCAGTCCTCTGACAGAGTAGCAAGTACTCATAGCCAAGAGCCAATTCTCCATCTCAACTTAAGGGTCTTCTCCCCTCCCCACTGTTAAGCCAAGCTGTAAAAACATGAAAAAGCAAGTTCATTTCCATGACGGGGACACAGCTACCTCATCAGGACAGTTGGGAGGACATGGCAGGCGCTTTCCTTCTTTCAGAGTGTTCACAAGCCGTGTTACTGTCATCTGGCCATGAGTTGGGCCTATCATTTTCAGGAACAACTATGTAAAACAAAACCAAACAAAATTAAGGTCAAGCTCCCAGAACTAGAAACTAAAACAACAAAGCTCTCTTCAATAAATTCAATGAAAATCTAAAATCCTTATTTGCTCTCGAGGATCAGTCTATAATCGACATCTGTGGGGATCAACCACAGCTATCAGTTAAGTGAAAACAAAGCCCCTACCCAATGCTCAAATCATATCATCCTCTCAAGATGGCCCCTCATCCTAACAATCTGGATCATCTTACAGAATTTTGCACTTGTGAAGGCAAACTTTGCCAGACCTTATCAAGAGACAAGAAGATGGCTCCCTCTGTGCAGCACACCAACGTGCTCCACTAAGAGCAAAACTCAATGGAAGAGCAAGTGCTTTCCCCTGGGTCCTGGCCCCAGGTGAAGGTGGCAATTAACACTTACGGCCATGGGACTAAAATCCGAGTCACAGTAGGTGAGCAGCTCGTGCAATGTCACTCCAAAAGACCACACGTCCGAGGCGATGTAAAATTTACACTGGATTAAACATTCCGGAGCGTACCTGAAAGGAAATCAGGGAGTAAGCCTTTATCTGCTCCAAAACTGACAGAGCACCTGCCTCAGGACAGCCACTTTCGGGAGGGTTTCAGAATTGAAAGCACATGTGCATCTCAGTGAACTGTGGAGTGCCAGTCCATCCTGCTGCCAAAGTGCACGTCTGACATAAGCAGCAGCCTAGAGGCTCACAGTATGCTACTTGCCCTCAAATGAAATGTGTGTGTCCCTCATGTCCCAGGAGACAGTCTTCTGGGGAGAAGACCATAAAGACCACCCCCAGGTTATAGTCCCACAAGCTCAGAGTCGGCATCGTCCCAGTGTCACTACTGGTAAAGGATGCCGAGGGGTCCATACCAGGTGTCAAGGCATCCCAGAATTGCTTTCCTGAACAGTCTTCAAACGAATCCACTTGCCACTGTCCCAACCACTACTCCCCACAGCGTGTGGCTCCCACCTGGGCTGCTGAAGCAGCTGACCCAGATTCCCATGTTCCTTTTTTGTTCCCTTCCATGGTGACCTTCAGCACAAACTTCAACTCTGGTGGCTTCAACTGGGATGAAGTCCTGGCTCCCAAACGCAGGTTCCTCAGCTGACTCAGCCACCCTCTACAAACCTGCCCAATGACCCTCTCAGTTTCAGTTCTCATTGCTGCCAGCCGCACAGCACAGGTCTCCCTCCACCTGACTTGCCGTGAGTCTTCCACCACGGCGCCTGAAGGCTGTGCCACTGCTCCACAGAGTTGGCTGCCTCACCCGTAACTTGGGATCCACTGACTGGATCACCATTTCTCCAGCCTTGGCAAAAACAAGGGTCTTAAAACACTATGTCTTTGTTTTTAAACAAGAAATAAGTATATGTACAGGCTTTGCAGGTGTGGAGGGCTATGTGTCTGCTTAGGGGCACCAGAGTGAGCTGTAAAGCACAGACAGCTAGTGTTGCAGGCTGAGAGATCGTGATCCGTGTGTGCTTCCTAAAGCCTAGCCAAATGTCCCTTCCTCCAGGATCTCCTTGACTCCGGCCAGTGTGTACCTTGTGGCCCTGTGAGCATACCAGGCCTTTCTACATGGATGCTTTTTATGAATGAGCCAGCATCCCCAACCTGCACAAAGCTGTGAGAACTGTGGTGGGTACTGCTGCTCATGGGAAGCTACTGAGGGTGAGGGGGTCATGGCCAGACCTCTCCCACTCTTGCAAAGCTGGTGCCAGCAAACCTCAGTTTTTGCCAGAGCGGGGGATGGGCACCCAAGCATGGCTAGACGGAGTCCTTTAACAGTGTTATAGCCTATGAGGCATGGATGAGATGATGCACATACCAAAACACCGGGCTGTCACGGTCATCCTTGACTGTGTAGTACTCCTTATCAGTTTCGATGGCTTTGGTTAAACCAAAGTCTCCAATCTTCACTTGGTGTTCACTCTCGACAAGGACATTTCTTGCTGCTAAGTCCCGGTGAACATACTGTCGTGAACCCAGATAGTCCATCCCCTAAGAGAGAAGTGTGGTCAGGCCCATTTCAAAAGTCAATTCAGATTGTGTTTTCTATCTTCCATTTCACAATTAGAAAAAAAAAAGTCATTTTATTCCCATATCACTAGCAGTTTTTGTTGTTCTAAGATTGGACTTTTTATCCAAACTGAAGCTGTTGGACCTAAGAAATGCACTCTCTTGCATAGCGGAGACTCGTATTTCATATAACGGTGCAGAAGAAAACACTCAGTCCAATGATTACAGACTCCCACTGAGGTCTAATTACTAACCAATTACCCAGGACATTTTGTACATGTCTGGTGTTTTTTAAACATGCAATCTTTCTGTTTGTGTGTTTTTACCTTACAAATCTGGATGGCATAGTTTAGCTGCTGTTTGAGGTTAATTTTGTTCTTATTCTTTGGCAGATATTCCTTTAGGCTTCCCGAAGGCAGAAACTCCATGATGAGCTTGATACCATTCCCCCCTGTTTAGGAGAAACTGGCATCAGGATGAGGCTTCAGACAGGGTGGCGCATGTTGCTCTGCAGAGAGGGCCTGGAGGTTTCAGCTTAGCCTCTGAAGCATGGGGAAGAGCCTGCCCCCTGGCATACAGACAGTTAAGCCGT